TAAAATCATGCACAGCATTTGGCTTTCTTTATCATGTCAGTTGTATTGATAAGGACACTGAAGCCTGCTGCTAAAGTCTAAGGATATTAGATGTAAGTCTAAGGATATTAGGTGTGTGGAAAGACTTTGAGAGAGACGGAAAGACAGATTGTACCTTGGAGGTGAAAACCAGAGTATAAACAAAACTGGAGGTTAGGCTTACTCTGCTTTGCAGTACAGAAAGGAAGAGGGAAGTAGTAAAGAATGCTAATTATTCTATTTACTAGTATATTCTCGAAATGCTAAGAAGCTGGCATGACAGAAGCCCAAAGCAAATTTTGTGCAATTGATACCAATGATAAGTGAAAACTAATTAAACATGTAGAAGCTCAGTTTGTAGAAATTGTTTCAAAAGAAAATTTGATAAACACACTCATCCACACTCATTCAACTCACCTTTTTCTCATTGAGAACAAGGACCATGCACCTTTGGTTAGAAGAGTAATTATAAGTTGTTAAAAAATCAAAAGAACATTTGATATCTGTGTTAATAATGAAAACACTTTACTAGAATGACTCTGTTTCATTGATAGGATGACTGAGCATTTCCCTAAAGCTTGCCCTCCCTTCCACCAGCCAATAGCACTCACACCACTTATTAATTTTCCTCTCTTCAGTTGGCTTGCATTGTCACAATTTCTTCCATATCATTAATATTTAGTAGAAATGCACGTTTTTTGTTCACTGTTTTCATGCAGTAGATAGAGGATTTGTTAAATGACTCAAATTTAGGGCATGATATATTGACTTTATGCGTATGTTAGTTCTGAAGTCTTGTATTTTCTATGCAAACCAGGAATTGCTTTTAAATTGCTGATTTAGAGTGTAAAGGAGATCTGGAACCAGAGTTATTCATTTCTCACTGGTGAATAAAAAAAAAAAAAAAAACAACTGTGATTCATTTACCAACTCCTTGACTCTTTGATTTATATCTTTTTGGAGCATATTGTAGTTCATTCAGTGAGAATGAAATGTAAGACATAGCTTTTGTCTCAAAAAAATTAATATTGTTCTGTTACTGTCTATTACGGGTTAGATATCTATGAGGTTGCCCTCAAAAGCTCATGTATGAGACAATGTAAGAAAGTTCAGAGGTGGAATGATTGGGTTATAATAGCCTTAATCTAATCAGTACATTCATCCCCTTGAATGGATTAACTGTGTGGTAACTGTTAGCAGGTTGGGTGTGGCTAGAGGAGTTAGGTCACTGGAGCTGTGCCTTTGAGGTTTATATTTTGTCCCCAGTGAGTGGAGGTCTCTTGGCTTCCTGATTGTCTTGTCCTGAGCTGCTTTCCTTCTCCACACCCTTCCACCATGATGTTCTGCTTCAGCACAGGCCCGGAGTAACAGCTTTGGCCACTTGTGGACCTGAGACCTCTGAAACCTTGAACACCAAATAAACTTTTCCTCCTCTAACATTGTTCTTGTCAGGTCTTTTGGTCATAGTAGTGAAAAAGCTGACTAAAACACTCTTGACCTCTACAATATCAGCAAATATTCCCCATTGTTCCAAGGATCCTAACAATATTCCACTTGTTTCTATTCAATATACGTCTTGCAGTTTATCACTTTATAGATATTATTACCCAAATTTAGTATGTTGTGAAGAAAAGCAATATTTTATTCTGAAATTTCTATCATAACTTAATAGAACAATCTGAGCTTTTTAACTTTTTATTTTTTATTTTTATTTTAGTTTTTTTTAACTAGTAGTTATACATAATAGTAGGGTTCATTTTGACATATCCATAGTGTTTATTAAGCTTTATTAGGATATTCTTGACATAAAATTGCATATATTAAAGTATACAGTTTGATGTTTTTGATAGATATGTCCATTGTGAAATGATCACCACAATTTCAGTAATTAATGTCTGTTATCTCTACATAGTTAGTATTTGTGTGTGTGTGTGTGTGTGTGTGTGTGTGTGTGTGTGTTAAGACTATCTAAGATTTACCTTCTTAGTAGTATACAGGACAGTATCATTATATATTATCATCACGTTGTACATTAGATCTCTGGAATTTACCCACCTTTCATATCTGAAACTTTGTACCTTTTGATATCTATCCTTCCCCTCCTCACAAACCCTGGCAACCACCATGCTATTCTCCTCTTCTATGAGACTGACTGTTTTAGATTCCATGTGTAAGAGAGATATGTGGTATTTCTGTGTCTTACTCATTTGGCCTTCCTCCATCCATTTAGCAAAAATGAGGATTTCATTCTTTTTTCTTTGACTGCATAATACAGGTTGAGCATCCCTAATCCAAAATCTGAAATGCTTCAAAATCTGAAAACTTTTGAGCACCAACATGATGCTACAAGTTAAAAATACCACACCTTTACCTTGTGTGGCGGATCATAGTCAAAACATAGAAGCACTAAAAATATCATATAAAATTATACTCTGTATGTATATATACATACATATAAGTACATATAAAACAAATAAATTAATTTCACGTTTAGGATTATATTCCATCCTCAAGAAATCTCATATGTATGCAAATTATCCAAAAATATAAAAATTCTGAAATCTGAAACACTTCTGGTCCTAAGCATTTTGAATAAGGAATACTCAACTTGTATTTGTGTGTATATATGTCTGGTCTCATATTTTCTTTATCCAATCATCTTGTGAAAGACCTTTAGATTGTTCTCCTGTCTTGCCTATTGTAAATAATGCTGTGGAGAAGATGGAAGTAGGGATATCTCTTTGAGATTCTGTTCAATCCCTGGATAGATACCCAGAAGTGCAGTGCTGGATCAAGATAGGTCTATTTGTAACCCATTAAGTCCCAAGTTTTCAAATCTAATATTTCAATGAAGTTGGCATACGTGCATTAAAATATGTTGAAAATCATAATCTAGGGCTTATATATTCTTATTTTAATTAAAATTAGAATTATTTAATATGATTATGTTATATAATTATATGATTACATGATTTATACTATATATTTAAGTTTTTATAAGTATTCCGTATCTGGGATTATGGGACAAAATATGTTAATTTTTTGAGGAAGCTGTATACTGTTTTTCACAATCCTGAGGCCTTTTCTTGAAGCCCAACATGGAATTCAGCAGTGACTGTTATGGGGAGACCTGGAGCAGGGGAATGGGGGTATGTATGTGACTGTTTATGATTTATAAACATCTGAGCATGTATGATCTTAGAAGAGTACCTGAGTGACAAAGTTCAGTTTTGAAGATATGTCTTACTATTAACTGTACAAAGTCAGAGGACAGGTGACAGACAGGATGTCACACACACCCCTTTAGATGCTGCACTTAATTACTTAAAAGTACTGAAGGTACAAAATTTTGAAGCTGGAGAGGAGCTAGGGATGTCTATTATCTAGTCTTACTACTTCATTTTGAAGATGAGGAAACTGAAGAGCAGATGGAATAAGAAACTTTTATAATTTTCTGTAGTTTTCTCAGAGGTGAATAAATTTATGTAGTTAATAATTTGAGATATCTAGAGTTGAAAACAAAGTTTCTTAACAATGAATCTACTATCCTTTCCATTATGTGTAGTCAAAGTGGATTTCTTATTCTGTCAGTGCTGCCTCTTTGTTTATTCATTCATTTATTTAGAAAGACCTCCTTAGTTTCAGAGCTGGGATCAAGGTGGTTAATGGCTTGGACCTCCTCAGCACCTGAATTTGTTATGGCTGACTGTGCAGTTACTCATGCTGCTCTTTTTAAAAGTGGAATAAACACTACAGACAAAATGCCTGGGACCCTGTGAACCATGGAGGCATATGACCAACAAAATCATTCTTCTAGGTACAATAAAATGTAATGGCTCATGGAATTAAGAGTGCTGTGGTACAGAGAAGCAGTGAATCACTGGGAAGAAAGGGGAAGCTTTGTTTCAAAACAAGGGTAACATCTATTTTAATCTACTTTCCAAAACCAAGAAAAAACATGAACATTTGAAAATGATTCCCAGGGTGGAAATAACTTTTTAATGATTTTTTTTTTTTTCAAAATACAAGACTTGAAGTACCTGAATTTTTTTTTTTAAGTATAAAAGGCAGGAGATCAACTGTTAAACGTGTAAGTACTATGTTGAGCTTCCAAATGTGGATGTTGAATCTGTAGTCTTTAAAAGAATGATCTTTTAAATGACAGTAAGGTAAGATCAAATGAATGTGTTAAACTCCTTATACTTTCTATGAAATCTATGGAAAGTAAAAATATTATATATTTTCACCATTATAAAATACCAACATTAGACCTTTAGAAATTTATACTGAAATGATATCTTTTTTGTGTCCTTGAAAAATACATGTTTATAACTTTTAATTTATGTTTAGATTTATTTATTACCAAGATCATGAAGAATTTATATTGTGAGGAATCAATTCTCAAAAAATAAGAATCAAATTTTCTATCCTTATAGCAATGTTAAGTGCAAGAATAAATGAAAAAACACATTTTAAAGAACATCACAATTTTTTCACATGTATAAGATATATGTTATAGAATGTTAGTTATGAACAGATCAATAGGAAAATTATACAGATTAAATATCTCTCAAGAATGTATCTTTTTAATATTACTCATGATAAAATACAACTGAATTACAAATACCAAATTTGTCTACTAATTCGAGTTATTAAGAATACTATATTTGCAGAATACATTCATGATAGAGACATAATTTACAGAGATAAAGTTTTTAAATAAGTAATCTATGCATGATGACAGCAAAATTAATTAAAAATCCATTAGTTGGTTACTATATACTGTTAATGTAATGAAGCTAGGTATCCTATACCTTGTGTTACTTATAAGAATTGTAAAGTTCATTCCTTTTGGAATCTTTCTCTTTGGAACTAGAAATAAATTTTTAGCTAGATTTCTGTTTTATTCCTTCTTTTGTTGTGATTTGTGCTTTCCTAAAGTAAAAGATCAAAGCAAGTACTTGCTATATACAATCTTCAATTTAAACTTTTGAGTGGCAGTCAGGAATAGTTTTCAAAAGTTTCTGGTACATTTCTGACTTTAGAAACCTGGGATAGGAATCCATTGCCATATGCATATATACTATTTTCTGAGCCTCTTCAAAACATGTTTGAGTGGGTTCCTGAATGTTCCTGATGATAGTTTCTCTTGTTGAATTGTCAATGTTAATCTGAAAAGGGAAATTACATGTAGAGCGTAAGTAAGCACAATTAAACATGGACACGTAAAACGGGAAGGTTTCATTTATTCCCCCCTCCTTTTTAGTCCAGTAGGTAATTTTGCTCACAGTGTTCATAGATATCTAAAAAGATTTATCAGAGATTTTTTTTTTTTTTTGCTTTTTAAAAGTAAATATCCACCTTCACATCCCAAAGGAATAAAGAAGCCACCTGGCCTAAGACCACAGGAGTCTCAGAAACCACACTCTACTTAGGAGGATGCTGGTGGCTTTTTAGTGGATGTCTGCAAACAAGGAAGCTTATGAAACCAAGGCCTCTTTTTAAGGAAAGGGGAAGTTGGTTCTATTTTAAAATCTATCTTCCTTATTAGTTACAAAGATTGTTTTCACTGAATATGCCCTGAAATGGGAAGAAGGTGAGAAGAGGAGAAATGGAGGGCAGAAGTGGTTGTCTAAGTAAACCAAAAAAAAAAATTTCCAAATAAGAATTTCAGAGAATAAGTTACCATCGTCTGTTCTTTTCCCTCAACAGGAATGTTCATTTTTCATTGTCTGCTAGGAAAAGTCTCAGTGAATCTGTTTCATTCACTGTAAATGACTGGTGGTAATCACAACGTGGATGTTTGCTGGGTCTGTTGGTTTTATGCGAAGGTGAACAGTAATCTCTGGTGTGGTGGTGGATTGCCACTGGGATGTGCACATGCCTATTTATGGCATTTGTAGTTTCTGTTGGCAAGGACACTTTTTTTTTTTCTTTTTAACCTTCCTGGGAATTAAGATCATCTAATGAGAAACTTTGGAGCCAGACTGCCTAAGTTTGAATACTAACATTACCACTGTAATGACACTGGGCAAGTTCATTAACTTTACAAATTCTTTTTTTTTTTTTTTTAATCTATAAAATAAGGTTAGTAATATCAAATTTATAACATATTAGGAGATACTGGGATGTAAAGTGCCTGGCATGTATGGATGATTAACAGATATTAGTGTCAAAAGATGCACTGATTTCATTTCCCATCGGTTTTTACCTCTCTAGGGGACTCTGGCTGGATGTAGGTCTTATAAAGCTTCTTTGCCATAGAAACTCTGCTCCACCGTGAGGCAATTTTCTTATAGGTTTCACATGCCTTCCAGAATTTAATGTTCTCATCACTGTGCTCCATTTTTAAGTATGCTGCATAGACTACTGGACCATCTAAAAGTAGTAGAGAAATCAGTTTATTTTTATAGTTAAAATTATCAGAAAGTCTGAACAATATTTAAAATGCAGCTTAAAACAAAAGTCTGAATATAATCTCCCTAATTATTTATCAAGCTTAAAACAAAAGTCTGAATAAAATCTCCCTAATTATTTATCAAGTGAGTGTTTCATATCCATATCTGTATCTATCACACTCTTAAATCTATACATCTGAGGCACATTCAAACAATCCAGTCATCGGTGAGGTTATCTCTTCATTCTGAGTCACTCAGAGGAAATTGCTCACCACTGTGGATGGGTCTATGACACATAGGACATGAGATGTCACAGGGACCTAGAAAAAAGGCTTAAGCTGGGCAGGTAGGAAGAGCTCTGATCATGATAAGAGAAAGCTAAGAACTCAAGCCAAACTGGTGGGTAAGAGCAGAGTGTAGATTCTAAAAAGACAGGGCAGGGTTGGAAGAAAACTATTCAAGCCATGTGGAAGTGATATTCTTATCAGGTTGTACAGCCTGAAGTGTTTCTGAATAGGCAGTCAGTGCAGGAGAACACAGACGGATGAAAATTAACCTTCTTATTCATAGTTTATGGTTCACATCAGAAATAGGGACCAGGCAAGGAATGGAATTCAGATAGGATATTGGAAACTATCTTGGAATCTAGTACAGGGCAGTGATTATGTGGAGCATGACCATCAAATGACACTTGATGTCAAGATAGTTATCCTCAGGTCTGGTCTTAAACTGCCTTTCTGGAATGAGTATATAAGGACAAAGGTTGCATGAGCTTTTCTTGATTGTGGCACTATTTTCTAGGAACTTCTGTTTGAAGAAGACAGCTTTCAAAAATCTAACACATGAATCAGAATTTTTGGGAAGACCAAGTACTCTCAAGGTTCACCATGAATACTTCGAGATTAATATTAAACTTCTTTTGGTGTCTATGAAGTCTGTTGACATGCCTGAGCAATCAAATTGTTAAATGACAAAACAACAAAGTAACTTTCTTTTCTTTTTCTTTTTTTTTGATATGGGGGATTGAACCCAGGGATGCTTAACCACTGAGCCACATTTCCAGCCCTTTTTGAGATGGGTCTTGTTAAATTGCCTAGGGCCTGACTAAGTTGCTGAGGCTGGCTTTGAATTTGCAACCATATATACCACATAAAATATAGTTAGCATAGATGCTTGATGTGACAGCTTGCAGTATTATTCTCAGTTTTTCCCTGCCCTTCCTCTAAAGGCAATCTTTTTGCAATCTTCCTGCCTCAGCCTTCAGAATTATCTCAGCCTCTGGGATTACAGGCAGATGCCACTGCACCCAGCCAAAGTAACTTTTGATAGAAATGTGTGTATAGACACGCTGAATCCATGACCATTTAGATCCTGACTGCTATCATAGGATTCTTTTTTTTTTCTATTACAAAAATCTGTGCATAATTTAATGTGTACAACCTGATGTGTTTGAAGTTAAGTGTATACCTATGAAACTGTTACCATAATCAAAGCCATAAACATATCCAGCAAGTGAAAAAGGATTTTGATTAATAAAACATTGGTCAGTAGCATTAACTATTTGAAAAGTAAGCATAATTAAATGGAATGGAAATAATGAGTAATCTAATCATGTTTTCCTGGGTTTTCACCTAAGAGCTTAGATCAAATTTTCTAACACGAGAAAGTCAGACTTTTTAACTTCTTGGTTTCTAATTACTCTGTCAGAAATGATACAGGAATAAAGATAACAAAGTAATTTGTATTCAAGAAAAAAAAACTCAAATAGAGGTATATACCTTCTATGGAGGCAGTATGGTTATGGAAAGTTGGTAATCTGCAAGAAATATAACATCCTAATAATACACAAACTTAGACCATGGCTTAATATTGTCATGTGAGCATATGCAGCCTTCCTGAAATTGGGCAGTAAGTTATTTGACAGGAATATTACCTCAATATGGAGGACATATGAGATGGGAGCAGAGCATATATAGGTATGTGACATAGGAAATGACATAGACTAGATGTTCCTACCGAAAGGGGGAATATATTTAAACTTAGATTTCAAACAAAAAATTTATTTTCATGCTAAAGTGACTTTAAATTGTACCTTGCCTTACCATAGGCACAGGAAATGGAGCAGAGAACACATGTAGCAACTGACCCTCCTATTAAGGAAATAGGCGAATGGGTGGGAAAAGCAAAACAAACAAACAAACAAATAAAAAAACAACCAAAAATTTATTTCTGGTTTAACATGTTAAGTTCAAGCTAGTGTTTTTCAGAATATATTGAAAGAAACAGCTGTATTTAAAAATGAATAAGCATATAGTTTGTAATAAGAGAAAGTTTGACTTAATGCTTAGTTAGGAACAGAAAATAAGGTCCTTAAAATAAAAATTAAGAAATGAGCTAGAGAATAGGAAAAGAAAGAGCATATGTGAGACAGACAGAGAGACAAACAGACACCTGGTAAAAATCCATAGATCATGGAATGAGAGTCAGCCATAGTTCCTAGAGTGATAAGTGGGTGGGGTGGAAAGATGATCTGGAAACCCCTATTAGATTCCACATTGTAATATTCAGATTTGTGTTTATGTTTTGCTTGATTTTGTATTAAAATGTTTATGCATTGTCATTTTAGAGCCCACCTGCATTTACACCTCCCTTCCTCGCTTCCCTCCTGATGGAGAAGAATGAGTTTCTGCTTCTTTTGAGGTTTGCCTAATGTTTCCACAATTCTCAAGACCTTTGCTAATGAAGTAATCTATATGTTGCTCTATATAGTTTTTATGTTTTCTGAGTGATCATTTCCATATATACTATATAAAATATAGTTAGCATAGATGCTTGATGTGACAGCTTGCAGTATTATTCTCAGTTTTTCCCTGCCCTTCCTCTAAAGGCATTATATTTCCCTATCCCATTTACATCTGCACTGGCCATTGAACTTGTGCTAGTCAATAAAATACATGCAAAAGTGCTGTGTGTAGTTCCGAGAGAATGGTTTAAGAACCCTCATGTGGTTGGTTCTGCTTCTGCCTTCCTTATGAAGAGAATGTATCCTAGAAAAAAAGCTGCTCATTTAGCCTAAAGGCTGGAATGAGGACAGAGAAAAGAGTGAGAGCTGACCTTAGTTGCTGTGTATCATGAGCAAGGAAGGGATCTTTCTTACTGTAACTCATTGGGATTTTAATGTCATTTGTTACTCTATCATAACTTAGCAGAAGCTGACCTGGATGACTCGAACCCATCTGATATTTCAGATGTGATTCTGATGCGTGGAATGAGTAGACTTATGTGATTGGTATGTTTTGCAGAATTCTGTATACATTAGGTTAATTTTTGTCTGAGTATGCTACACGTTATCCAAACAAGCCGCTGAGAGTGCATTTATGTAAAAATGTTTCAGGAATCATAGTAAATATTAAATTCATACTGAAATTACCAGTTTAGAATTTGGTTGATGCATGTACCACATGAATCATAATGTAAAAAAGTCTTTCCCAAATCAGACAATTGAACCCAATGTGGCCCATTCTGAAGTTTTAAATTATAATGATTCCTGAGCACTATGCTCAGGAGACCATGATTCTGCTGCAGAAGAATGATTCAAGGCTAAGCAACAGAATTGCTCACTTAAGTTGAGAGGGTGGCAGAAATAGGTTTATCGCATATGTGGGGTATACCTTTTCCTTGAAGAATCAGAGTGTTGCTTTTGGAAATCTCTAACTTGCCCTTTTAAAAGTAGTCACTAAAATTAGTACTCCTATGACACACAAGATGACACATGACATTGTTTCTTGATGCAGTAGAAAAACATGGAATTTCTTTCTTTTTTTAAGTTGTTGATGAACGTTTATTTTTATTTATTTATATGTGGTGCTAAGAATTGAACCCAGTGCCTCACACTTGCTAGGCAAGTGCTTTACCACTGAGCCACAACCCCAGCCCGTGGAATTTCTTTTGATTGAATCAGAATGGTGGTCTATCTTATTCCAGGATCATGTTTTTCTGTAAGATGTCAAGTCTTGTACCATGTATTAAGTCCTAAAAGTGAGCTATATCCATTAGAAATATGTCCAAACCAATTTTAAATTCACCTTTTAATTTTAAATCTGTATCACTGGAGATATAATAAATTCCATAATTCTACCAGAATCTGTGTGAAGTTTTATAGTAAATCTTCCTGTTTTATTAAAATTTTCTGGTTTGGTTTCTAGGATATTAATCATTTCTAATCTTGCTCCTACTTTTTCTTTGCTGTGTTATTATAAAAGTAGTTTAAAATGCTATGTTATTAACACAGAAAATGTCTAATAAAGTAGTATCCATTGTTGACAATTTGTTGTTTCCTTTTATTCTTTCAATCTATTGATCATGTAAAAACATGTATCTAGCTAGCATTCATTCATCTGCACACACAGATACAAATACAAGTTACTTATTGACATAATGTAAAGGCATTTTAAAAAAAATCACTATTGCTCTTTCATGCTTAATATTATGCAACAAACACTTTCCTTTTTACTTTAGATGATCATGATAGTCCATTGAAGGGCTAGGTTGTAAGACAATTGTTCTTCTGTGTCCATAGGGCATTGGTTTCAGGACCCCCTGAGGAAGCCAAAATCTGAAAATGCTAAATCTTCTACATAAAATGGGATAACATTTGTGGATAAGCTACACACATCCTTCTGTATACTTTAAGTCATCTCTAGATTACTGATAATACCTAGTATCATGTGTTATGTAAACAGTTGTTATACCATATTGTTTAGGGAAGAAAAAATATCTCTACATGTTTAATATACATACAATTCTTTTCCTAAATATTTTTCATCTGCAGGTCATTGAACTCAGAGCTGCAGGATACAGAAGGGTGACTGTATATTTAGTCATTCTATTATTATTGAACATTTGGATTTTTCTACATTTTTTGGTATATAGATATCAAACATTTTGTATATAAATACCAAACATCTTGGTCTACAAGTC